AAAATATGAAAACAAAAGATGAAAACAAAAGCGCAAATTGAGTGTAACAAGAGGGTTTTAAAGTGTCGTTCTTGCTGCACTGCTGAAGTGATTTGTTATTCTCTTCTTTGTAGAGGTAAGAAATTTTACATTGGCTTAAAAATTCGATACATCTATACTATGTATAATTGGCACTACAATATATATGACAAATCCTACTTGGAAAAAGAGTGTGATGCGTTGACAAAATCATTATGATTTGCTTATAGGGGCAATAAGAGATAGAATGAATGAACCTATATGGTTAGTGAGAATGAAATGGATGAGAAGAAAGAGCATATTTTGTACTAGGGTCATACAATATTTGGACAAACTTCTCATTAGAAGTTAAACTTTTACTAGTTATTTATCTTATCAATATTTTTATGTAGTATTTTACTATATTTTATGTTCTTGTATTTTATTGTATTTTCCATATATGTATTTACAAAATGTATCATGAGCAATTTGCTCATTACTAATTTTCTACTTACAATTTTAGATTTTCACCACCAGAAGGAAACACCTCAAGGACTCCATCTCATGATGAAGGGGTAAAGGGCCGTTCCGGCCTCAGGTACCCCGGCCAACCAACAAGACCAGACCAGCAGATGTCATTTCCCTATGTCAATTCACTATGTTGTTGTGCTCGGAGATGATGTACCACATTTGTTAAACTGTATTCTTGTTTGCTGCATCGAAATGGTACTGAATGTAATAAAAAATATCTAAAGCTAGAAATTTTCTCATATGAGTTAGCACGCTCACTAACTTCTGCGAATGCTCAGCCATATATGTAGATATATGTATATGTTGCTGTTTTCAACGTATATGTGGAAAATAATAAAGAGATAGAAACGAATTAATAAAAGGAGAGGTACTCGCAAAGAAAATTAAGAAGAAAATAAATTTTAATTAACTGCGCATAAGTTGCAATTACATATAACAGATTAAATACGATAAAAATACAAGGAAAACAAGAAAAGATATATATATATTTTTAAAAAAATAAAAATTATTAAAAAAATTGATGCATTTTTTAAAATATTAAAACAATTAAAAAGAAGAACTGAAATCCAGAAAGCAAAATAATGAAAATACATTATCTCATTGTTAACTCACGCGATTATATACGTAAATTAGAGTGTTATTTAATATTATATTACTATAGCCAATAGTAATACAATATAAGAAAGCTCTCTCTGTATGTATATATATATATATATATATATATATATTAAAGTTAAGAAAAACAATAAGTTTCATTTATTGCGTGCGTTTAAGCTGCAAGTAAACAGAACTCATTAGATAAGTTCAAAATGAAGATAAAACAAAGAAAAATTATAGACATATGAAAAAAAAAGAGGGGGGAAATAATAAGTAAAAAAATAACAAACAACAGTTTAAGAAAAAAGAAAGAAAAGAAAAGGATGAAATTTTATTTAAAAAAACCGGAAAAAAAAGATATAATCTTTTCATCAGCCCACACGATTATATCCGCAAAACAGAGTGCTATCTGATATTGTATCAATAAAGCCAAAGCAAAATATATTAATACAATAGTGTGAGGAGCACTCAAAAAATTTTTTT